ATGTCCTCCCCCCACTGGTCTCCTTGCCTCACCCTATGCCCTCTCCAGTTCATCCTTTATAAGAATGTAATCATGTTCTTCCTAATTTACTCCAAGAGTTCTTAAGCTTTATTGGGTCTCAGACCCCTTTGACCTGTGGAAGCCCTTTTCAGAATAATATTTTTAAATACATCAAGGAAACTAATTATATTGAAGTAAAGATGTAACGATTTTTTTTTTCCCATCCAAGTTCACAAGACCTTTCCACCCCTCCTCAAGTTTATTCAGGGATCCCAAGTTAAGAACCTGTGCTCTACTCAGACATTTTCAGTGATTCTTTGTTTCTTCCTGAATGAAATCCTATCCCTGGCATTCAAAACTATCTACTATTTAATTTCATCTGTATTTCCAACCTTAATGCAATCTATTCACTTTCGTGACATGCCAAAAATTCCTGGGAAATTGAAACTCTCTCTTTCCATCTTTGTTCACATCATCTGCCTCCCTATACTAGTAGATCTAAGTGACCAGTTCTCCATCTCTTAAAATCCATCCCTTCAGGAATAGAACCAGGTGCCACCCACTTTGTGAAGACTTCCTTGTCCATTCCTTCCCCTCTGATTTCTCTTAGTTCTGTTTCTGGATTTTACTTTTCATTTAGCTGGCTTTCCCTAGGTCTTCGTTGTTTGTGTATTGGACTTCTTCCCAATAGATTGTGAATTGGCTGAGCTCAGGACCTATGTCTTATCAATATTTCTCACCCTAGTACAATACCAGTACAAAGTAAGCACTTAACTGACATTTGTCCAATTGGATTGAATATTGAATGACCTAAAGTATGTTGTAAGATGTCAGATTTAGAACTAGAAGCTAGATTAGGGGCTGAAATAGACCAGTCCCTTCATTTTACAGATCTTGAAGGCCTGTTCAATGAGACAACAAGGATTTATTAATTGCCCACCATGTGCCAGCTGTTCGTATTATTGGCTTAATTAGGCCCTCTTGAGTAAGTCATTTAGCTTCTCTGGGAATCATTTTCTTCATTTGTAAAATAGGAAGTTGGAAGGGATGAACTATAAAGCCTCTTCCAGCTTGAATTGATAATTCTGTCTATCATTCAACCCCTTGACATGTGACTCATTGGTGGCTCATTTGGGTTATTTTAATATGATGACATTTATGAATATTATCCATATTTATTGTGCAGATATATAAGAAATCTAATTCTTTGTAGATTTCTTGTGGATTTTTTTTTAATTTCACAATCACAATGTCAGATAAGGAGAAAGCAAGGTTAGTTTATAGTTAAAGAAGTGGACCTACAAATCCTAACTAATGAAGCATTTTTGAGGATATCTTGCCTCAGAAATAAAAACTGTTTCCATGATGGAGAGTGCATGCGTGTGTGTGTGGTGTGTGTGTGTGTGTGTGTGGTGTGTGTGTGTGTGTGTGTGTGTGTGTGTGTGTGTTATCTAATAAGTTCTATAGAGTGAGAAAATCATGAAGGCAAAATGAAGACAACTTTAAAACATCGAAGGGCCGTCACATAGAAAAAAAATCAGATTTATTCTCGTTGGTCTCAGAGGGCAGAACCAGTAGCAAAAATTGAAGATGTAGAGGCAGGTTTTTTTTTTAATAAGGAAAAATTTAACAATAGTATACTCAATGACGGTATTAATATCCTTGGAGGTCATCAAATGGATGCAGAATGATTTTGGTTAGAAATGTTGTAGAGGTGATTCCTGCTCAGGTATGGGTTGGTATAATAGACAACTTTTCCTCTGATTCTCTTTCCAACCCAGATTTGATGACTCTGATGGTATCGGGAAGCTGGACAATGTTTTTGCTCTGCTTTAGAGGGGAAAAAACCTTCATTATTTAATTTGAAGTATTGTGATTGCCTAGAAATAAAGTCATGATAGTATTGTAGCATGAGTATAATACTTTCCATGACCAAATATAGATTCCAGTTACTCTGATAATCGAAAGTTCTCTGTACTTAAGAAAAATGTTCTAGCATCTGACACATAGGAAATACTGAATAAATTGGCTCTTGCCGTTTTTGATTTAAGTGAAAACTGTATTTATTTGTGAAATATCCTGTTGAAATCCAAAGAAATGGATAATATTTAGGGTTTGGGTTTTGCATCTTTGTATTAACTATTCTATGTATCTTAGCCATCAGGACCCTGGAAAGGGCCCAAGTTTATGGGGTTCAAACAGTTAGATGCCAGAGGGGTTTGCTGGTGACAGTAGAGGGCAGCAGAGACTGTTCTGGGGCACCAGATTGGTATTCAGTTTACCTTAGGGAAAGAGTAGGGTACTCACTGCTCCTCTGGGGAAGGCAGGAGAGATGTGCAAGGCACAGGCAAAGGGATGGATCTGAGACCAGGATCCACAGATGGAGTATTGGTTGGATAAAGACAAGAGATAACTAGCCAGGCAAAGAACTGGAATCAAGTCAGCCATGAAGAGGAACACAGTAGCAGGTCATTTGAGACTTAGAAGGATCTCCAGTGGGGAGAAGCTGGTGGTGACCTTGTCACTTCTCATCTTTAAAATGACAGCCTTTGGTAGCTGGTTAAGACCCAGATTGGTGGGTGGTGTGTAGATTAGAATCTCTCTGAGGACAGACATTTATGTTGTTTCCATCTTTTGTACAACATAGATCACAGGGTAGGTTGGATATTTTATAAGTGTTATTGTTTCATGTGCTGTTGTAATTAAATGCTGTGAAAGCATAATATGGCCTAGAGCTGGAAAGAACTTCAGAACTCATCTGGTCCAATCTCAGCATTTGGAAAATGAGACCCAGATTGGTGGATTAGTTTTCCCAAAGTCGTACAAGTAGCAGAGAGCGGAATTTTGACCTGTCTTCTACTGATAAATCCACTGTTCGTCCCACTGCGCCATTCTGAGGGGCTGTTTTCAAGTGTATGTGAAAAGAAGTATATACACCATGTGTAGGGCACCTCCCAAATAAGAGAGGCCACTTACATAATTTGTGGCTTTCTTTGTTTTGCTTGTGGTTTAGCTACTTGCAGCTCAGTTGGGATTATGGGTAATTTTTGTTACAGGATACGTCTCAGAATGTTACAAACACTTGAGCATAAGGATATTTAAATAGTGTGGAAACCAAAAATAGTTAAACCTATGTATTTTATAACCTCATTTTATTAGGTTGCTAGAAAAAAAAAAAGCTGTATCTAATAAAGCTGTGGTAAACCCAATTACTTTCTCTTGTACATTTCATCCTTCCCCCACCTTCAGATGTTTCATCTGCAAATGCTTCCTAGGTTGGTTGAAAAATAGCTGTATATAGTAGAGATAGAATAAAACCAGTGAATTTTCCTCTTGTATGCCATCTCCCTCCAAAGGGAAAAAAGTGCCCTTAAGTCATTTATCATTCTCCATAGGAATTGACAGTGTTTACTCTGGAGTGTTGAGCTGTGGAGGGAAATTAAGATGCTTTGTTTTAAGTATTAGCATGTTAGAGACTTTTAAAATGTGTTTCATTGATGCTTTTTGTTTTTAAAACATTAGTCATTTCATACATATCTTCCAGATTGAAACCACCTTTGTGACCAAGAAAAAGAATTAAGTAAAAACATCTGCTATGGAGACCACACCTGACAGTATGGGCAGTATTCTGCTCTGGCAGTCTCCCACGTAGTCTCTAACATAGTGGATTGGGTTAGGGAGGGGTATGTTTCATTATCCTTTCTTGCACTTTTACTGGCTTTTCAATTACTTATAATTCCACTTCCTTTCTCTTTCATTTTCGTTTACCCTGTTGTAGTCATTCTATAGAGTTCTGTTGGCTTTGTTTCTTTTAATCTTGGCCTATTTGCGTCTTCTCCTGTTTCTCAGAATTCCTCTTATTTGTTAATTCATCTACCGTAGGTTTTGTCAGTCATTCCCCAGTGTGTGAGAGCTTACTCTTTTCCCAGTTCTTTGCAACTACAAAGACTGCTGTTTTGAATATTTTGGTATATATTAGACTTTTTTTTATCTCTTCCACTAAAATGATCTCAAGTGTTTTTGAATGAACACCCTATCAGTAAAGTATTTTTGAGTATATACATTCAGTATGTATATATTCACTTATTTATAAATTAAATAATGTACTGCTGTGTTTAGTAATCATACACATAAAACTTATACAAAAATTGAAATTTCAAAAGGATGTGTAATATTAATATGATTTAATTAATATTATTAAATTAATTAAGTAATGTTTAGCTTTGGAGCCAAGACAGTGCCAGTGGACTTAGTTAGACTCATGCTTTAGAATAACCACCTTGGCAGCTGTGTGGAAAGTAGCTCGGGAAGGGAGGAGACTTCAGAGAAAGAAAACAATTAGGAAGCTCCTTTCGGCATCCTGGGAGAGAGGTGATGAGGGCTGGGATTTGAGGAGTAAAGAGGAGATACTAGATGTGATTGTGTACAGGTTGAAGTGACAAGATCTGACAACGGGTTGGGTATGTGGGGTGTGGGAGATGACCCTGAAGTGGTGAATCTGGGTGGCTGGAAGGATTGATGCCCCGGAGAGCTACAGTAGAAGTAGGAAATGGGGGTAGCCTTGAGGGGAAAGATGATGGAATGAGCTCAGCAGTCAAAATCACCAGCCACTCAGGCCTGCTCGGTCTGTGCCAGCCAAACAAACACAGGAAGGCTGGGCTCTTCCTGGCGTTTGCTGAATGAGAAGAGAGGAGGAGCTGTGGGGGCTTCATAGCAGAGGAAGAGGGCAGGGTGAAGGAATGTGCCAGAATAAGGGTGGATGTGGTCATGTTGCAGACAGGCCTCATGGAGGACTGGCCTTTTGGGAAGGGTAAGATACAGCTCATCTCCCTGCCTTCCAATGTGTTGACCTTTGGAGTTATACTTTGGCTGGCCTCTACCTTGGGAACCATTATTCTAAATAATTTCACCTTTTACCTTTTTTTGTGCTGTATTTAATAGGTATCAATAATTTTAAACGAATTTTTCTGTTTAAATAATATTTTTATTGTTGTCAGGAGTTTTGTTTTTAACCATAGAATGAGTTTACAGCCAAAAATTATGTCACAGACCTGTGACTAAATAATAATATATTTGTCAATAATATGAGGATATAACTATAAGGAAAACAATTTTGAATAAGCCACATCAGGTCATATGCTATTTCTACTTTTAATTCTTATCAGTTTTTAATATAGCAGTCCCTCAAAGCCTACTCTTTTCCTTTCTTCTACCCCACCCCACCCCCATACACAGCTTCCCTGGAAGATGACAACCCCAGGTCCAGTGTACTGTGTGGATTTGTACTCTTAAAACTAATTCATGAGTTCATGCGTCCCCATTGGTGAATTCACCGTTAAAAGTCGTAACAGTTAACAAAGCTCAAAGCAAAGGCCTTTACCAGAATGGATAAGTATAAGCAGTAGTAACAAAGCATTCTAGAAGCCTGGAGTGCTTCCTCTTACAAACACATGCAGCACCTATGAGAAGAATGGGCACCCACATAGAATGCATTTGTAGAGATCAAACCTGGCCAAAGCATCTCCCACCTCTGGTACTTCAGGGCCCCAAAGTCTAGTCTCTTGTAGTGACTTCTTTTATGCTGTTCCTTCTGTAGCTCAACTTGACTTTCCATTTGGAATCTCAGTGTTTACTTTCTGCTGGAGAGGAGAGGACAAGGTGAGAGAACGTTGGAGAATAAAGGTAGATGGGATTATGTTGAAGACAACAAATGTTTATTTTTTGGTGGTCATTGCCCTCCTATCTACACAGATCATTTTTGTTCTGATATGGTTACAAAATCACATGTTCTTTTAAAAACCAGAAAGAAGATACCTTAAATATGTAATGGTGACATTTTAAAATGAACTCTATAGTGATTCCCAAATGGGATAATATCAAAAAGGAGTATAATTTTTGTAGGAAGAAAATTATTAAAATTGAATCTTTCTTGCTAATAATTTAAAACAATTTGGTTTAATTAAATTTACTGTATGTTAAACTTCAGTCATTCCAAGACAGTTGATTCAAAATATTCTTCAGGGCAACTGGAACTTACGTGACATGTCTGTAAAATAATTAGAACCGATCCACAAACCATACATGCCACTCAGTCCCATCATTTTGTAGTCACACCTCGTGTCCCAGGACCAAAACAAATACATGACTCATTAAAAGGTTGAGTCCATTAGTAGATGGCTCAAGTTCAGAAGGAGAAGATTAAATTGTACCTAGCACTTAAGCTAGAATGAAGACTGATGGCTCATGCCGTACTTTGACAAAGCATTTATACCATGTAATGTTTTGAAATAGCAGCTGAGCCGCAGTTGACATGTGAATGCCTTATTTAATTGAATTTACACTGCTCTCTTATCCTAAAGCTGCAAAACACTTCTTCAGTGAACTTCCCAAAAGCAATGACAAATAACCTTTTAGCCTAGCTCATAAATTAGTGTTTTGACATTCCCTTTGAAGAAGATATATAGGTGAATTTAATAGGCTTAAAATGCAGAATGAAGTCCATGGTGTTTGGAAGCAAATTAATGAGTGTTTATATTTAACTGCAAGTATTTTTAGAGTCATTGTATTATTTTGGATAGACAGTTCCCCTCTGTCAAGAGGATGTGGGTTCGGGGCCCATCTCCCCAGGCATGTTGTTTAACCTCTAAGTGTCCAAGTCCCAGGCTGTAGGACTGTAAGTGGCTTACCCGTTGAGGATCTGCATTGGGTTAGTGAATTTCCTTAAAGTGAAATTCTTGACATTAATGAAATTACTGCTCTGGACCATTCACACTCTAACATATGGAAAAATGACTTTACAAACTTCCACATCAGTCAGTCAGCAAGGATTTAAGTTCCTTCTGTATGCCAGGCACTGTGCTAGGCCTGTAGATACAACCCAGACATTAAAGTCACTGCCCTCAAAGAGCTTATAGTCTAAGGGATGAGAGTGCCACTTGTTTGTTCTCTCTGTCTCTTTCTCTCTCTTCTCTTTCTCTCTCTCTCTCCCTCCCTCTCCCCCTCTCTTACCCACACACACACACACACACACGCACAAACACGTGCACACACCAAACATATACAAAGTGAATTTGGAGGAAAAGGAGGCATTAGTATTGGGGGGGACCAGGAACAACCTCATGTAGAAAATGGCATTTGCACTGATCCTTAAAGGAAACTGGGGGTCCCAGAAGTGAGGCAGAAGTGAGGAAGGACAGAGGGGTACAGCAAATGCAAAGACATGGAAATGGGAGATGGCATGTGGTATATGGAGAAAATCCCTCCATAGCACGGCATGTAGAGAGAATTTAGAATTGAAGAAGAATGACATCCCTTTTAATGCTTAGGCCAAATATGCTTTGATAGTTAGAGGCCCCATGAACTTATCACCTGGGTACTTCTTCCACCAATCCAGACTGCAACTCCTCTGACTCAGGAGGTGGTCTTTGAAAGTTGACCAAAAGTAATCCTCCATAGCCCACCTGGCAATGACCCTCTCTTTGATCTTGTGCTCGAACAGGTGAACCCAGACCCATACTTGAAGCTCTTTCAACTTGGTGAAATTACATCACTTTTAGAAATCCCAAATCACTCTCATGCTAAGAGGAGGCATCGAAGTGGGACTTGAGTGAAGAATTAGTCAAAATAGAGAGATAAAATTCAAGTAAGGAAAAGTGGTAGTAATGTAAAATTCTAACTATGTGTTAATTACACATTCAGATGCAAGAAAATAGGGGATATGTATGAAAAGGCAGACTATTTTAACCTTAAGTTTGTGCTGGTGTTCTGTTCTGGAATTTAATATGTAAGAGTATTTTTATGAACATAATCCTATGCATAGATTGCAAAATTATTTTCCTACTACCTCTCAAAAATGTGCAGAGTAGGTGTTCTTAACATGAGGTCCATGACTTTTAAAAAATATTGTAATAGCTGTATTTTAGTATGATTGGTTTCCTTTCTAATCCTATGTATTTTATTTTATGAATTAAAAAAAATGTTCTTCTGAGAAGTGGTACATATGCTTCATCAGACTGCTGGGGGCAGGGTCTATGACACAAAAAAGGCTAAGAACACTTGGTAAAAGGAAGGAGAGGAAAGGGTAGAAATGCAATGGACCCTGAGAGAGAAGAGGGAGTTTGGTACTTTATAACCATGCACATAAGGTCTCTGCTGCAAAGCTCCAAAGTGGCCTCTGTTATTAATACCTACATTCAGGTGTGCATCTTTTACATTAATGGGAGTGTTGGTTACATCAGTAATTTTAAAATATGGCAAGTGTGAATGAATGTTGTGCAGAGAAGCCACGTTGCCAATGAATCGAGCCAACTTGAATTGAAGAGAAATGACTCTCAGCTTCTCCCTGAAACAAAGACCCATCATTTCAATACAGAACACTCTTCTGGTAATATTCTATGACCATAAGTCGTGGAACACTATAACCTACAAAGAATTGAAGTTAAAGATTACCCAAAGGGTAGTGGAGAGGCATGTATAAAACCACAACACGTTACAAACAAGGAATTATGAAGAGGCAGAATAGGGGATGTCATCAAAGTAATACCTGAGCAAAGAAAAAGATGGTGCTGGTTGTGTAGTAAGAGTGAGCGATAACAGATAAAAGTCCGCCCGTTCCATTTGTGTGTCCTTAGGATGCAAAGAGAACATAAAGTGCTTAATAAATGCTTGGGGATCAGTTGGTTGATTAACAATCCTGCCCCTCCACCCATGCATTGAGTAGACCCCCTTGTGTCAAACATATGGAAGGAGATGGGCAGACATGGATAGGTTATGATCTGGGACTGTGGAAGACTATTTGATTTAAATATAAAGCTGTGTTTCAGAGCAAGGATTTAGTAGGCTAGCAATTGTTACCTTTCTCTCTGCTTCTGATTAAGGCAGAGGATAACACAATTTTTTGTTAGATCTTTGAAAATACCATGTTTCTTGGTTTCTATCCTAACTGCCACCTACACATTATGTAACATTCTGGATGAGAAAGTACCAGAGGAAAGTTAGTTTTATTGGTGAGCTTTTGGGGAGGATAATAGGTAATTTATAAAACCCAACTCTGTTTCCTACTTCACTGGGTGGGGCTCCATTGTGAGCCAGCACAGACTATTCTCCCCCTCCCACTCCCAGTCATATTTTTGTGGTCTGCCTCTGGGTAGTGTAAGCCTCTCATCTTAGCTAGTCAGGTCCTCATGTGATAGGAATATGGCCTGTGGCCAGACCTGTGCTAGAAGCCCTTCTAGCTTAGTAAGACCTGCCATACCTTCAGAGTGAACCCGGGATCACCTTTATGCCCTGGTGGAACATTGGTGTGGGACTTTAATAAAATCTCGCCCAATATTACTCTTCACATTCCATGGTCTAGTGGAAATTGCAAGGGATGTGACATGGAGGTCCTGGGTAAAAATCTGAGCCCTGCCCCTTATTACCTGTGTGAACTTGGCAAGTCATTGTTCCCTCAGACCCCTCCGAACTCTAAGTTTACAATCTTTTAATCCGTTAAAGAGAATTGGCTCTGTTGTTAAAGGAAAGCCTTTAACTTGTTCCTTTTCCTTCCATATGCCTACTTCCATAGAGCTTTCTGACAGTGAGAAGCCATTAGAGAAATGTAGAGCAAATTGCAAAGAGATGACGATAACTTGATGTTATACGTTTTTATACCTCAGATGATATATTGTTGGAAACAGCTTCAAACTGGAAACTGCTTTCCATGATCACTTAAATAAAAATTGGAAATATAGTAACAGATCTTTTAAATTAAGATTCTTATGTTAATTTAAAAGGTCAGAAAACAAACTCGATTTCACCATAATTTCCCATAAATTTTAATTTCCATTTTTCTTTTTATTATCAAATAGTTGACTTCATGACAAGCCACTGTCTATACGGACAAAGCTAGCTGCATTGTGTGTTTTGGTTGCATTCACCATATGTTAACCTGAATCTCCTTTCCATTTCATAGTTTGTCATTACAGAGATGTAAATGTGGCAGCTGAGACCTGATGGATAATTTTCAGAGAAATGGATTGATTTCTGCATATTTTATGTACATCTTAATGAAAGTACTTTGCTTGGCCATGATCAAAATGGAGATATATTTACATAATGTTAAGCATTTGTTCCTAGCATTTGGAAAAGGGCAGTACTTAAATTTAATTTTTAGTGGGTACATGTATCTGTCACACAAATTTAGCAACCAACTGCTTGAAGTACAAATCATTGTACCCTGGAAATCGTCAAGGTTAATTATAACTCGTATTGCCTTTTTTTTCTTTAAGCATACCTCATGGCACATTAATATATTTAGTAGTACTGTTTCATTTGTGGATTGTGTTTATATTTAGTATGTCAAAAAAAAGTTTCACTGCTTTCTTTGTTAGACCATTCATTTTCTGCATCTGGTTTGGTTATTTCTTAGTTTATTTTGAATTTTCTACATATTTATGGGACTTGTTTGTGCTAAAATCAGCAAGATTTAGAGAGGTAGAAAATTTGAAAGTACCTAGTATGTACCTCACACACATACACACAAATAGCATTTTGGGGAGCTATGTTTTATTGAAATATTCATGTAAACCATTGTGGAAGCATTACTTAAATTATTAACAAATACCGATTGTCTTCATCTTCACTGGAGACATATATTAGGACAGCCTCCTTCCAGACACATGGAATTTACTTCATTCTGCCTCTCCCTATATCTCTCTCGTTCCATCTCCCACTTTATCTCATTCCTGATGTGCCCTCAATTATCACTACAGAAAGTTGATGTTCTGTCCTTCCACAACTTTTCCTGAGGATCTTTCCTCATCACTCTCAACTTTGGTTTATATATCTCTATGTACATGTGCACATTAAGATAAGTAAATTAAAAAAAATAGAAAGCTTTTGGTTGGGGAACACTAATGACTAGAAAGAATCCAAAAGGCAGAGAGGTGAGCCAAGGAAGCCCTTCAGGCGTCTGGGAATGATGTATGCCAAGGCATGAAGGTAAGAGTTGGAAGATGTGATGTCATGTACAGAGAACAGTAGGTGGGCCAAATATGGCTGAAACACAGAGCAGGAGCAGGAGTGGGAGTGATCTAAAATCAGTGGGGAAGGATGGGTTGGAGTTGGGGAGGGCGAATGGCCTTAAATGTCAAGTAAAGGAGTTGGAATTTTATCTTAGAGGCAGAAGGGAGCCATTGAAGATTCTTGAGCCGGTGAGTGTCACCATCAGACCTGTGTTTTATTAAGAAATATCATTTGGCAGCTCTGTGGTGCATGGACTAAAGGAGTGCAAGGCTGGGAGTAGGAAGGCTAATTAGGAGTCATTACAGCTGTCCATTTAGATAACAAGGACCTAAGCTGCGGTGAGGAGAGAGAAGGAGGCAGAGAAGAGAGATGTGAACATAGGAGAACTGATTAGTAAGACTTAGCAAATGCTTCAGTATGAGGTTAAAGGAGAGTAAAGAGTCATGGGTGACTGAGGCTGCAAACTGAGTGACAGGAAGGGTGTTGATGTCCTCAGCAAAAATAGAAAAGTTAGGAGAGGAGAACTTAGTGGGAGGTGGGGGGGAGTAAGGAATAGCATCTGGACTTTGAAGTTGATTTGCTGGTGGGACATCCTAGCTGGAGATCTTTACCAGGAGACGCTGGCCTGAAGCTCAGAAAGACATCTGTGAATCTGGCAGTTACCTGAATAGAGATGGCGGTTAACCTCATGGGAACTGCTGAGATCACCTGGAAAGAGAAGACAAGGTGACCCGGGGCGTAACACTCATGATTAGGGGAGGGACATAGAGGGAGCCTGCAAAGCTGTGATCATAGAGGGAAGAGTTAAAACCAGAGAACCAGTGTCATGGACGCCCAGGAGGAGAGCATTTGGGAAGAGGGGCTATTCAGCTGTATCAGGTGGTGCAGAAAGGTCAAGAAAGAGAAAGAGGAAAGGCAAATGGATTTAGTAAGTAAGAGGTCATTGCTTACCTTGAAAAGAGCAATTTCAGTTGAGAATTTGTATCAGAAGCATGACTGCAAAAGGTTCAGAGATGAGCAGGAGGTGAGGAACTGGAAATAATGAGTGGAGACAGCTCTATTTTTCTTTGGGGGTGGAGCTGTGAAAGGGAGGATCAATGAGGTATGACAGCTTGAGGGGGAAAGGAGGGGCAGGCAGTTTGTTTAAGGAGCAGGAAGATGTGTCATGTTTGTAGACAACAGGGAAAACATTGATTGAAAATAAAATGAGGGAGGATGAACTCAAAGCTTCCAGAAGAGAGAGGAGGAGGTGGGGTCAGGGGCAGAAATAGGAGGGTCTGCCTTGAATGAGTGAAAGGCTATTCTTTCTCTAGGACTGGAGTGAGAAAGTAGAGTTTGGGGATATGGTAGGGAAATTTGAGGAATAGAATTGGAAAGAAGTGGGAGCATGCCACTGAGGACCACAGAAGCCAAGGCATGTGAGGGGACGTCAATATGTGTATTGGAATTCCCAAATAAAAGTGTAGCTGTTGGTTTGGAGAGAAAGGCTGAACCAGACAGTTATAGATCTCCTTCAGGAAGGAGTGATAACGATGTTGGGGCCAGTAGGTAACTACCACCAGGACCTAGATAGGGTGACATCTTTAGATGAAAAATAAGTGGAGGATGGATGTTTCCTTAATGAGCCAGCACTGTGCTTCTTCCCCTCTTCTTGGCCCAGTGTATAAGGGTGTACGAGAAGGAGTGCCTCTGAGTATCTTGGGATGCATCTATCGTCCAGGGAGATTCCTGTGACAGTGAGAAGGTGGAAGAAATATGGGAGCAAGAGGTCTGATAGGAAGAGCAGTGTGTTGGTAGTTGAGTGGTGGTTCCAGAAGGGTCCAGTGTAAGGGGAAGGCAGAATGGGTTTGACCAAGGTGAATGGGAACCAGGGAGCGGCAGCCAAGGAAGAGTTCACTTCTTCCCCCAGCCCCAGCTCAGGTTGGATTTGGGGGACGGCAAAAGGGAATGGCCAGATGGTTCTGTTCTTTATGCAGGTGACTCCCAAACCTGTACTTAATTTGTGCAGACTTGTATCGTGTGTTACAAATGTTTCCTCATTCACCCTCACCACAAACCTGGAAGGTAGGTCATAGTGGGGTCCCCATTCTACAGGCGAGGAGGCATCTGAGAGGTGGGATCTGAACACGGGCCTTCCTGATCCCATGTCCACACTCCTGTTACTGCTGCATTCCTCATTGTATGCTGCCCCCCATCTCCACGTGAATGCTCTGTTGATTCCTCATTTTCCCAAGTCTAAAGTGAGGAGCTGTCTTTTCCCTCCAAAGCTACCCCTCCTCTACATTTCCCTATCATATCTGGAGCACCACAGTCTCCATTCACCCAGCTTGGTTATCTCAGAATCACCTTTGTCTCTTTCTCTCCCTCATCCATATCCATTCCATCCCCTAATTCATCACCTCTTATCAGCCTCTTCATCATCAGGGTATTAATTATAGCATTTTAAAAGTTGCTTCCAAGATGAATAACCCTACTAATGCACAGTAGAGCAGCGAGGTGGCACCATAGTGCACAGAACGCCAGGCCTGGAGTCAGGAAGACTCATCTTCCTGAGTTCAAATCTGGCCTCAGATGCTTACTAGTTGTGTGACCCTGAGCAAATCACTTAACTCTGTTTGCCTCAGTTTCCTCATTTGTAAAATGAGTTGGAGAAAGAAATGGCAAACCACTCCTGTATCCTTGTCAAGAAAACCCTAAATGGGGTCATGGAGGGTCAGACATGACTAAAATGACTGAACAATACTCTGTTGTTCAGAAATCTTCAGGGATTCCCTGTTGTCTTTAGGTTAGCATATAAACTTTTTTGTTTCTCACTTTATTTCACTTCTTTCTCCCTTTATATGCTCTGTATTCAAACCAAACTTAACTTCTTGCTGCTCCCAGAACTTGTGCCTAGTACTGTGCCTTGCTCATAGTAGATGCTTGATAAATATTTGTTAAACTGAACAATGGAACATTCATTGAATGTTTCCAATATGCCATTTTGCTTGACAATGGACTCTTAGTGAGGTATTTTTAAAAAATCATATTCATAATTGACATAGGATTTTAAGGTTTATAAAATTTATTCTCTTCAGCTACCCTTGGATGTTGGTAGAAGATATTGCAGGACAGGAAGAGGAAGACAAGGAAAAAGTAATAGGGAAAGTAGGGGCAGAGAAATAAAGTAAATAGCAACTACCTATGAGTATGGAGAGGAATTTAGAATACAGGATCCCCAGATTTTAGTCACCCAAAAGTTTCGTGTTCAATCACCAAGGCTGTTGAGTTAAATACAACGTGTTATCTTTCCCCTACCTGTTGGGACAGCACATGAGCAGAGTCCCAGGGTGGAAAACACTGGAGACCAAGGTCTGCTTCCAAGTGCACCCCACCCAGGATATAAAGAACTGTTCATCTGACTCCTGTCCTGACAGGACCCTATCCTGTCTACTATTTGGTAATTCCTGTGCTAGTATAAAGAAATCATACATGTCTGGTGTAAGTAAAAATTACCTTTGCCAAATGAATTAAATGTCAGTTCAACTAGAACATGATAGCTAATAAGATAGAACCTTTATTGCTCAATCAGCCAAAAGGAATAATAAATATATCCCATTTAGAGAGTGTGGGAAGAAATCTAGCCCCAGGTTACCCTGGGGAAAAAAATCAGAGGAATCTATGAGTGCCCTTGGAGATGAAGAATCCATCAGCAACATTTTAGTCTTTTTGCATAGAGAAACCATAAAAATAGTACAGAGAAGCAGCATTCTCCTCTTCCATCTCCCATGCTTTCCACAACCTTCTATAGACCACTTCATCCACAATCACAATTTTACTCTTTAGCAAAGGGTAGTAAGTGGAAGGAATAGCAGCAGAAACAGAGGGCTCAGGGTCTTACCCTTTCAGTTCAATTGAGCAAATACTTATTACTGTTTTCAAGGTGCTAGTGAAACAAAGACAGAAGTGAAATAGTCCTTGCACTGAAGGTTACGTTCTACTCTACAATGTGTTCATAAGTATGATGCAGAGTAATTTGAGGGGGATCATCCCTACTGCTAAGTCTTCCATCTTCCCACGCTGTGCGGACCTTTTCAAACTAAAACAACCACAAAGGGCTGGAGATAGGCGGAGGGTGTGTATGTGTGCGTGTTTGTATATGGACCTACATATGTATAACACAAACTGAACATGGAACCATGTGTAGCTGGATTGTTCCCCAACTTAAAGTCAAGTTGTATTTCATAGTTTTACCTGTAAATCCATTGTTTGAAGCTCGGAATCAAGCAGTATTTGATCAATAACATGATAAATTCTCTGAGGTCATCTAGTACTGTTACCTGAAGCATGAACTCCCGCTATGATGTAGTCAATAAATGGTTATCTCTTCCATGCTTGTAGGCCATCAGTGATGGGGAGCTTACTACTTACTAAGGAAGACCATTCCTTTTTTAGAATAACTCTTAATTGTTAAGAAGTTTTTCCCCTTTATTGAATCAGAATCCGTCTCTTTCAAACATCCGCCCCACTGGTGCTGATTTTTTTCCTATGGGTCCATGTAAAACAAGTCTAACATTTCTGCATTACAGCCTTTAACCTGTTTGAAGGCAGCAGTCACATCCGCTGTGGGTCTTCTCTGGACTACATGTGCTCATTTCCTGCATCTCCTCATCTGACTTGGTTTTGAGGGCCATCCCCACCCCCATCAGCCTTCTGTGGATGTGCTCCAGCTGGTTTGGCTCGTCCTAGAAGCAGGCACAGTGCTACAGATGTGGACTGATCAGGTCAGAGCAGAGAGGGACTGGCATTTCCCGGTTCTGAACGTTACATAGCCTAAGATTAATGCACCCTAAGACTTCATTAGCTTTTTCGGATGCCATGTCACAGTGCATGAATGACTCAGACTGGTCTTGTAAGGAGAGCAGGAGCATCCTGCATGCTCCTGTTGGTGCTTTTCCCCAATGCTTAGGGCCCCCTTGTAGGTGGTATAGGAAGCCACTGATGAAGGCCACATCTGAATGAGAAGGTGTGAATGCTTGTGTTTAACGCTGCCGAAATCCTAGATCCATCAAAATACCAAGGAAGGGAGAGCCAATCTGGCACAGTGGAAAGAGTGCTAGATTTAGTGTCCTAGGACCTGAGTTCAAATCCTGTCTCTGACACTTTAAGTCATCTAGCTTTGGGCCTCAGTTTCTTCATCTGTAAAATGAGGGGTTTGGACCAGAATCACCCATGAGGTTCCTTTCAGCTCTGGTTCTGGGTCATCCTGTAAAGTCACTATTTATTACCTCAATGAATTTGCAGTGCCTGATAACCCCTGGGTCTCTTTCACATGAAACTGCTGTCCACCTCTCCTCTACTTATGCAGTTGGCTTTTTGCATCTGAGTGCTGGGTTCACATTTATCCCTATTCAAGTTCACCTTTTTAGATTCTGACCGTCATTTGATCTTGTCTGGATCTTTTTAAAGCTGATGTTTGTCATGTAGCACATGGAGATTTCCTTTCCAGCTCCAGGCCATCCGCACCTGGTGTCACTGATAAACGTGGACTGTGTGTGAAAGTGCTTTTATAAGCATGGACTGTTTTTACTTATAATAGTGTGCCTATGGGCAGAAAACTGCATTGAGTAGCACACACAAGGAAATGCCCTGACCTTGCACATTCTCTTTTCCCACCACAGGGGCTGCCCCTAGAAGGCAAGAGAGGAACATGGTGATTGAGGGGAATGGAAGAATAACAATCTACATCTTTTTATGTACAAGACACTAAATTGGGTATTTATGATTCTTAAAGTTCTGTGGATCCTTAGGGTGAGCTGAATTAGCCAACCTAAAGTACTTAAGTCATCTGTAGTTATGAAAACAGCAAGATGACAAAAACTTTTCAGTCTTTTTTAAGGCCATGAAGAATGTTCTCCAAATCCAATGTATCACTAATCAATTATTCTCAAAATAAATTAGGGCTGGTACCTCCCTTCCCATCCAGAGCATCTCCCAGTAGCAGACTGAGTTCTTTTCTATTTCTGATGTAATTTGTTATCATTTA